TTCATACCAATTTCACAACCAGGATACAGTCACAACCACACACGTGGTCAGTAAACACGCACTAGTGACTGGTTAATGATTGGATAACGGTCCATGACATAATCATAGTCAGTTAAGAGATATTTCAGTTTTACGGTATTATTTAATTATGTGCTACGTCGTATTTAAACCACAGAAGAGGTTTAATTCTGTTTTATAAAAATAAGTCAAACAAAACAGTAAATAAGTAATAAAACAGCTCATAATTCATAATTCCGAATTCAACGTAGACTAAATGACGATGTTGCAAATAACGAGGAAAAAATCCACTTATTTATCATATACGGCTTGAAGTTTTCATGCTGAGGGGGGAGTCACTTTTTCTGTTTTACAAAATATAGAGCGGGGAAAATCGGAGGAACGCCCCGTGGCTTTTCACTTGTACCTTTCAATTTTCCACTTTGCGCAGATAAAGGAAAAGCCATGGGAAAACTTTGACTGCGAACTGGTTTCCTATTTTGCCAGCTGAAGCTAAAAAAAAAGGCATTTGTACAGAGGACATTTGCGTTTGGTGGCCACGAGGGATTTTCTATGATAATGACTTCCCTTTGAGTCAGCTGACTTCTCCAGCAGTTATGTTGAATTTAAAGGTCTGGCTTCAGAGTTCACCAAAATTCAGATAGTTGATAAATGGATAAAGAGTTTGGTGTAATTCAATTTGATCTCTTTTCCCCACTATTTTAAAAACAATACCAAGCCCACATGAAAGCAAATGGATTCTTTTTTGATTGGCTCCCACCATTCTTTACGTCCACTCACTGACAGGTGAAACTGCGGGGTCTTTTCAGTAGTGACCACTTCAATGAGTTAAATTTTAGTTAAAACACTATTGTTCCTAGTTACAGGGTCTGGTCTACAGAAGCTGAGCATGAAGAGGTGGAGCATCATCATCAGCATCATCATTCTCCTCCTGTGATCATAAATCCATCACAGTAATGTGCCAGAAGATGGACCTCAGTCAAAGAGTTAATATAATCTATATATTTAATCTTTTTTAAACCTAACAAGAGGGAGAATAGTTCACAACAACATTGTCCAATCCATTAATAAATTAAACCGTGTGAATTATCGAGATAAAGAATATAAAAATATAATTATTACCAAATCTGACTAAAACAATGGTGCGGTGAAACCCAGTCCTTTAGTTTGAAATTGAACTATATATACACACACATATATATATNATCTAAAACATTAAGAGCCGTGGATCTGATGGGCAGAGCAGGCCAACAGAATCACTGATGTATTACACAGACCAACAAACGTCGTGCAGCGGAATTTTTATGTTTTAAATTTCCAAATCCAAGGTTCCATTTCCACGTCCCTCATGCGCCTGTTGTTTTACGCGCGGCCTGGAGACAGTGCGCAGAGAGAGAGCCTCTCATTCTCATTCAAATCTTGCTCACGTCGTTCAGAGTAAATGGCAGATGTTTTGCAATTCAAGGCGCATCAATGCCCATGCGCTTTAGTGTTTAACAAAGGCGCGCGGCCTTTTGTGAGGCACTTGTGTCTTTCACTGGAGCCGCGGCACAAAGGCCTCCATCCTCCAGCGAGTTATAAAGTTACTTTCCAGTCAGTTCATTTCGGCTTCTTGACAAAAACCCTAAGCGATGTTAATGTGCACCTCTGCTCTTTTCATGCGCTAACCCCGGCACACACAGGCACACAGTGGCCTTTGTGTTCCCAAACCAAAGTGAGAAGTCTTTAAAGAACCCTCAGAGCACTCCATAGAAATTCATGATGTCGATCCGTATTTGATGTTCGATCACAGAGTCCACTGCAGCTCCAGTCGCGTGGCTCTGCACAGCGTCCCATGTCATATTTACAATATTTCATGTATTCCCAGTGCACATGTCCAGTACCTGCTTCTTCTGCTGTGACCTTGTGTTCCACAAAGACCGTTTTAGTCACACCAGCGCCGACTGGACGTGTTGAATAGAAGGCGGTTCATCGATTTGCTCCGCTCCTGGTGCGCTAAATTACGCGCCTGTGAGCGCACAGTTTGGACCAGAGCTGTTGTAACATGTGGTGAAATCACTCTGTGCTGACGAAGATCTGGCTTCATTATCGTAACTGCTGCAGGAATAGCTATAACCTGCAGCACAGACGCTCTGAGTGGTTTTATCTTTAGGCTTCCTTGTCATCTTTTGTCATTCCCTCGCACCATTTCCCACCTGGTGTTTTCCTCAGACTGCGGTTCTGCCATTATAGGCTCTCGTTTGTTGTGCGGGCCTGTAACCATTGGCTTGCAAATGGCCCCGTTTCCCTTCGGGCAGAAAATAGTTTATTGCAGTAATTGCGTAATTGCTTCACTAATTGTTGTTAACAAGTTCCCCAATAGTCCAATTATTGCAGCAGCACTGTCAGGTCCCCGCCGGCAGCCATCCATGACAAAGGCCCGATAGGGTTAATGAATGACCTGGGGCTGAAAAGTGAAAGAGGAGCTAAAGCCCGAGTTCTTTTTATAAACATACACGCAACTTGTCATTTAATGGCACTTGTATTATTGGGTCAAATTGGGACACAAGTTCCTCGTTGTGCCATTCTTATGGATAGATGATGGCACTGGGCCTTTGTGCTGTTGGAGGGAAATACTTTCAAAGTCTGGACTGTATTTATAAAACAGAATAGTCTGCCAATAATGTTGTTTTAAATCTTTAAGTACGACTGATATGGGTCTCACACACAGTCAGTGCGGAAAATACATGAATTGGATCCCCGCACAGTCCATATATATTCTAGTACTCAGGTGTTGTTAGTAAGTTAGTAAGATGTAAGTTAGTACATTGTACGCAAAGGAACTAAAGATGTGGATCTCGACGCGTAAGTTAGTACATTGTACGCAAAGGAAAACGCGCCGTTCAGTGATAGCTCTGTTTCTCCTTTGTGACCTCACAGAGAGCCAACACTAATTGAAATTATAGCGAGTAATTCGGTGGAGAATTCCCTCCTGTGTGACACAGAATAACAAGACAGGCGACTCCTGTCGATGCCACGGCTCCAGGCTCAAATCACAGCTCCACGGTCTGCTGTTAGAGAGTGAGCGTGAAAGCGCGGATAATGCGGCGTTCAGCGGGGAACAAAGGACACCAAAAAGCGCACTTACACCACGACACATCAGGCCAATTTCATACCGATTAAAATCTTCAGAATAAAACACCGTAACTGTGGCCTGCGATGTTTCGGTGCATTTTACGCAATTAGTGCGGTAGTATTCGGAGCACACAAGTCGGACATGGAAGTTTGTTTGACTTTTCACTTGTGACATTTCACAGCTTTGGTGTGAAACTGTGATTTGCTGTTAACGGCGGACTTGAATTTGCATAAAGTGTCGGTTTGTGAGCAAACTGTTGAAGTATCCCTGCGGGGTGACTTTTAAAAGCTGTGACTTACTCCTAAATAATAGAGTGGGATTAGATTACATTTTGACATGACTCAGTATTTTTTTAAATTTTTTTATTTGACGGTTCTGTCCAACGTGCCAAGTGAGGTGTGTTCTGTTAGGGGAATCTTTGCTACCCGCACTTTTGTGGTCACAAAGCAGACTAAGAGAAAAGATCAATGGTGCACCATTATAAAGTGGCCTTTTCACTGGAGCTCTGCCCAGACGGAATACAAATACCCCTACTTAAGACCCTCTGTCGTTTTAACACACACATTGGGGTGGATCAAGCAAAAGAAGACTTGGTTTTCTCGCCGTTGCCATGTTCATGTCACCATGACAAAAACAACACATTTCGATTATTTAATTCCAAATTTTCTTATCGGTATTTTTGGTCTCAATTCGACCAACTCCGGTGTTTTCAGATGAGGCGCAGTGAACTGCAGTCAGCCTATGGTCAACACATTGTTTCAGCTGGTTTGACTCTCAGGCCTTCACTCCTTTCAGGGAAAAGTGTGGAAAATCGGGAGGCGAGGGACCGAGGACAAGGGGCGGCCCGCGATTCTCCTCGGTGCCTCAGTGCGCCTCAAACCCCCCGCAGACACACAAAAGCAGAAAGTTTCCACAAGTGTTAACATTTTTCCCAAAATCCACCAGTTATGGCAGCTTTTATCCTATAAACCAACTCTCCCCACACCTTTACCTACAGCAGCATCGCCCCTGCTGGTCTAATAGACGTTCTGCAGGTGGACCAGTCACAGACACCGGAACATCCAAGTGCCGTGAGGAACAAGCAGAACATTTCCACGGTGCTGCCTTCGAGCAGGGAGCGTGAAAATCCCAAATAAAAGCCTGACTAAAGGAGGCAGCCGTCTGCACAGGGGAAACTGCTACGATTAGCATTTGTGTTTATGATTTAAACGCTTATTTTAGGTTCTACCCCACACGTCGATGTACCCCACATGGACTGCTATCAACATACATACATTTGTGCATTTATGTCTCTCAAATGTAACACAAATTAAGATCTTAATCCACATTATTTTCTTATAATTTTATACATTATGAAACTTTTATTTTCTGGCCACTTTCACCTCTTATGTTTCCAAGGCTTCTAATGGTTGAATAAAGTCATTTAGAATAAAAAAAATAATGTTTTCAAAATATTTTTTTAAAAGATCGGCCTTAATTAATGCAAGATAAGTGAGACAGAAATAGATAATTAAGTATGAGTGGTTTAAGACGTTTTTTCTTCTCGTGTTTTATAGGCTTTGGCTGAAGCGCCAGTGTCCCTCCACGGGCGGGACACTGTGCATTGAGATGTTAAGTGGGTGTCTCTATATAAACCCACTTATGGTCAACTTCTCAGTCAGAAAGAGTCAGCAGAGACCAACCTCAAGGAAAACAAACAGAATGGTGGCGACGACAGACTGCGATGACAAACCAAAGTCCGTGACTGCGCACAAGGTTTGTCGACAAACTAACCCAGAAAACACTGTTTAAGAATAGAAATGATTTTTAATATTATTTAAATGCATTTTTGCATAATTAATCAGAGACTTTCTACAAACAGGTGTCCAAGCCAGTCATGGAGAAGAAACGAAGAGCTCGAATTAACAAGTGTTTAGATCAATTAAAAACTCTTTTGGAGAGCTGTTACAGCAGCAATGTAAGTATTCAAGATCCTTCAGCACTTCAGCCACAGATTCACTTCGACAATCTACTATTTAAATAGACCCCAGAGAAAACTGTCTCAATGATGGACTTTCTCTTTTCTTTTCTTTTTTCTTTTTTTTTTTCTTTTTTTTTTTCTTTTTTTTTTTCTTTTTTTTTTTTTTTTTCTTTTTTTTTTTTTTTCTTTTTTTTTTTCTTTTTTTTTTTTTTTTCTTTTTTTTTTTCTTTTTTTTTTTCTTTTTTTTTTTTTTTTGTCAGATTCGAAAGCGCAAACTGGAGAAGGCTGACATCTTGGAGCTGACTGTGAAACATCTAAAGAACCTCCAAAAGATCCAGAGCTGTAAGTATCAGCCTCTTCATCCACATATCAAGTTAGTGTTTTATTTAACCCAGCTTGTAGACCCTGTCCTAACATCCAGATCTCTTTCTAATCCCCCAGTTACCGCTGCTGCTGCCTCCGAGTTTTCTGAATACCAAACAGGCTTCCGTAGCTGTCTATCAAACGTCAACCAGTACTTGGTCATGGCAGACACTATGAACGCAATGGACCACTGGATGTTAACACAGCTTTCCAGTAAACTGAGCCGCTCTGTGGGGCGTGGAGGAGTTTCCAGCACCATGGACAGCGCACCGACCCCGGCTGAGCCTCAGGAGGAGCCGCGGAGGCTTCTTCCACTTCCTGGTTCTCCCGAGGAGGCGAAAACGACCAGAACCAAAGCACCGGAAACGCACACTACCAGCAAGTCACAGTGTCTTCACAGCGAGGTCTCACGACAGTCGCCTGCGGTTAAACGTGCTGCACCATCTACCCACGCCGCATGTTCGAGTCCCAAGACGCATCGCTCTGTCATCACCGCGAATAAAGCTGTGAACATTCAGAACAGCGTCTGGAGGCCTTGGTAGAACTGACGAAAGACTGTAGATTGGCCCAGAACCCTTTATTGCACTGTAGAGATTTAAAAATGTTTAAGGTATATAGACAATGTTTTGTGTTTTTATTTTTATAATAAAAGTTGTTGAAATAAAGTCGTTTCTGTCAGTTTGAAGCCTCGGAGAAAAAGGTTTTTCTTTGGAGGAGAAAGGTCTTTGAGTGTAGACTGTGCACCTGATCTGTAAAACTTTACTGTTCTTTTCCTCCGTTTTCAGTTGAATGCCATAAAGTTTGGTCTCATTGTTCCAGAGAAGAACCGAGGAGGAAGATGGCACCTTTAAAAATCTCCTAAATAAACGCCCACCTCCCTTTAAGAGCACACATGTTTAAAAGAGGAGCTCCTCTGTAGAGGAAGGAGGCTCCCCACGAGGGCGGAGCAGAGGATAGAGCAGCTTTGAATGGATACATTTTAAAAAGATAAATGAAATAACGGGAAATCAAAAACAACATTTCATATTTTAGATAAATGTCCATTTGACGATGAAGGAAAGAAAACAACAAGCAGGTGTTTCTCAAATGGTGGCTTGTCATCCAAAGATGAGTCACATGGAATCATTTAATGGACAACTCATTTTTTAAGTTTATTCTTCAGTGGTCAGAGTTAATTACTCACTTCCCAATATAGTGAATAACTCATTCAAACCGCAGACAACTCCATCTGTGAATTAAATAAACCAACCAAAGGCTGCTAATTCAGAAAACACTAAAAAAAAAAAAAGAATAATCTTTGTAAAAACCAAGAGGGGCCCACGAGCCAAGACAAGAACACAAACAGAATTCCTCTTAAAAGTCTTTTTAATAGCAGGCCACGGTGCTGCCGAGATACAAAGAGTGAGTTAGCATGAGATTGTGAGCAGTGAAGCGCCGTTAAGAGAGCAGAGGAGGATGAGGTGAGCTGGAGTCTTTTTTTTTCTCTGCTCATTTCACTGCTACAGCCAGCACAATAACAGTCACAGACTATTTACAGGTCTGTAATTTGGTTCTGTTAAAAGTTCAGAAAACCAAGGCTTATACCAAGCCTGTAACAGTGAGGACTTGTACAAATCTCACACAGACCACTCTCTGAGTCATGTGAATTTATTTATTTTTTAACAAAGTCATCATCAGCACAAGAAAATCAGAACATTTAACATCATTCATATTCAAGCCGTAAATCGTTGAATATGTTACAAATTGATATTTTTAGTCTGTAAACTCAAACAAATCTATGAGAGCAAAGCTTGACAGGAAAATGTGACATTATGATTCCAAGAAAAATTCACTTGAAGAAAATGATTTAAACTGTTCCTCTGACCAGGCCTGGGTGACTGAGAGGGTGTAGACTCAGTTTTGAAGAACTGGGGCCGATATAAGGTCTCACTTTGCAGGAGACGAACTGCTCATGAAGTTCTGTGAGGAGATTTGATGGTAAAATAATCTTTTGGTGTTAAAGCTTTTGAAGGAAGTTTTTAAGATAAGATAAATTTGCTGTGACTTCCTTCACTTTCATGATTTAAATTGTTTTTTAGATATGTAATTGTGGCACATGGTGATGCAGAGGGAGCTACAAGTTAGACTTTAATTTTCTTTTAAAATGATGGTGGTTTACAGTTTGATGCCATCCTTAAAGCTGCATCGAGGCAACTTCTACCCTGGGATGTTAGTGAAATCTTATTCACATCCCTGTCTTTTTATCATTTTCTCCAAGTAATTCTTCTCACTACGGTCACTACAAATAAAATTCCCAGACTCCTGTTATGTCACCGGTGCTGCTGTCTGCAAACTAATATGCTATCAGCTTGTAAAACTTTTCTTTTAATTCCTTCTTTTATGTCATCCAAAAACCACTGACTGTGGTCAGTCAGACCTTCTATTAAACAAATTTGTGAAACTGCCATAAAAGCTCTGTTGTCGAGGAAAGAGCATAATTTTCAAGCTGTTGTTTTCACTTTATTTGTGAAAAAATCTGGTATTAGACTGCTGTGAGTGTTGGTTTGCAAAGTTACACTTGGGTTGTCGTTGGTAAAATATGCAAGGTAATAATAATAAAAAAAAGCAGGAGAGAACACCAACACCATCTCATGTATAACATATTTGTACATAAATCTTTTCCAGAACTGAATTCCCGTTCATGTTTGTTAAGAATTTGTAAAGGGAGCTTCATAAAAAAATGTTAAATAATAATAACAAATTCAATGAAAAAGAAAAGTCCAACCTTCAATGAAATGAAACAAAAATCTTTCCATGCAGCAAAACTTAAAAAGAAAACAACTTCAGGCCCCAAATGTGAAGAAAACAAAAAGCACCACACAAACAACAATCTCCTTCAACTCTTCAACAATTTTACCATTTGTTAAGAAACAACAGCAAAACAAAGACATGGAAATGTTCACATCATTGATAATGAGTTTGTGTCAGTGCTGAAAACAACAGAACAGGTTGTCAGTGGACATCTTCCGATGTCAAAGTTGAAGACAAGTAACCAATCCACTGTTGCCCCAGGCTACATACTCAGAAAATATGGCCAAAACTCCTGAGGCCAATACAGGTGGCGCTATGTTTCAGTAATAACCCATAATAAGGCTGAGTCAAGCAGCCAGAAGGATTTCATTTTCCACTTCACTTCCGGTGGATTTCATGAAGATAGTGAGTCAAAGTTGTGCTCTCATGTGTTGGATCCAGCAGAATCCGACTGAAAAGTGATGTATCCCGAGGACGATGCCGAGGGAGTGCTTACAAAACTGTTTGTGCTTCCTTTACTCTCTGCTTTGCTCAGTTTTTTCTGATGCCCCCAGTCAGATCTGGAACCGGCCACCGCTCCACTTCCTGTCCTGGGCCGACACATGGAGTGTCCTGGAGTCTGGTGGCTGCGTCCAGGTGAACCCCCTTCACTCTGCTCCCTCCCATCCCTCAGACGCTCCTGGTGAACTCTGCCAGAGCCACAAGCCCTGGGGCTCGTCTTTCCACCGGGTCTCTCTGGTTTGGGGGAGGTCTCAGGAGAGTTGCCCCGACTGCTGCTCCTCTTATGCTCTGACAGTCTCCTCAGGGCCTGAGGCTCACGCTCAAAGTCTGTGAGTGGGAAGTGAGGGAGGATGACAGTGTGCTGATCGTACACATTGGGGATAAGGGAAATGGTGGATGTCCGCCGTGGGCTCCTCATTGGGCTTGGGAGAGGAGTCTCGTCTATAAAATTGATCACTTCATCGCGGCTGAAACAGCACAGTTCCTCCTCATAGCGGTCCCCGCCACAGACCACGCGTGGCAGGTGTTTGAGGGAGGGCGTGTTATCCTCAGATCGTCGCCGCTTGCGATGTGGATGATAGTGATGGAGGTTCTCCTCGTGGTAGGAGACCAGGCTGTTCCTGCGCCTCTCGTGGCGCGGCAAGGTGGAGCTGAAGTGAGCGCTCACTATCATGTCCTCGATGGAGCCCCAGCGCTGAAGATAGGAGGGGATCCGGTCGCTGGTCCACATGTCGGTTTCGTCGTGGGAGTATCTTCTTGTAGGGGGCACCTGCACCAAAGACAGAAAGCAAGGTCTTCAGTCTCCAAAATGGATGTTATCAATATTTATTGAGTTGGAACTGTACTGCAGCAAACTGTAAACAACAGGTGTTGGCTCTGAACATTAGTAATGATCTGTTACACCATTATGAAAACCTTATTTACTAAGTTTTGGGGAGGGGGTTGTCTTGGCTAGAAACTGGACTCTAGCTCTAATGATGAAATTTTAAATATATATTTTTCAAAACACATTAAGGTTTATATTGTATTCTTCTTATTCCTCATCATATTTTCATCAAAAAAGTCTATCTCTGTATTATACAGAACACAGTTCTTTTGTAAACTAGCAGCTGTTGTATAATTCCGTATTTGATTCCTCAGACTCATACTTGTGTCTAAGTATGTAACACATTACACTGTCGTCCTTAAACATTTAAAGTACTACTACACCTCCATTTCTCGAGGCGCGTTATACTCACTTTTGATCTGACAACTATGCAAGAGACACAGGGTTTGTCAAGGTGGTGTCAAGAGCCACAAGATTGATGTCAGTCTGCCCCCCTGTGGCCGCTTTTAGCAGATGCAGGGGAAAAAATGAGACAGAAGACGATACAGTAGCATTGAGTGTGTTAGGAGTGAAGACTGGACAGCAGAGGGCAGCACAAGCATTTGAAATGAAGTAATACGTATGCAGGAGAGACGAAGTGAGGCGCACAGAGAGAGGGAGGGGGGATTCATACAAGCCAATAAAGCCCAGGAGGCTTTATTACGTCATCAGACGGGCCTCGGTTATTCACAAATAAGCGCGATACTTGTTTGTGATTTTGAACAATTTGTGTTACCTGTACTTTAAACCTACAAGCACAAGCAAATACTACACAATTCGGTAATCATCCAGGAGAACCGGTAACTAAACATGCATTTTATCTGCTTCACAATCACACACAGAGAGAAAAGATATCTATTTCTAACCAGAACAAAGTCATAACATGAACACATACATGTCAAAATAAAAATGAAAAAAATGGATGGATTCAACAAAGGGATGGAATGGAAGCTACTGTATACATCTCTGTGTCAAGACCAAATGGTAAGGGCACCTGTTCCTTCATATCAATTGCATTTGCAGGAGCGTATGGTTGTGAACTCCTCAAAATTGAATGTTTCATTTTTAAGTTTGTGGAAATTCAACAGCCTGGGCAGTGTTTATGTCAAAGATAACACAGCAATATAAATAATATATGGCAACGCAGCTGTGGCCTTATATAAATTATATTGGTGGGAATCTGCAGTTATAAAAATCCTGACAATTTAAATATGATTTTTTTTCTATTTTGACAAATTCAAGAGCCCTTGCAGTGCTGTTTATAACAAAGATGACACAGTCCTAATATTGTTAATATTGAGTGTGAGTTGCATTTGTTGTTTCTGGAATAACGTATCACCACCACAGTCTTCCAAGACAAGTAACAAGAGGCAGCGTTTTATATATTTGTGTTATATATTAGTCAGACCAATTGAAATGAACAGGTTTGTTACGTTGCCTCAGAAGACCGTGTGTTTGGACAAGCTTTTTTTAATGCTAATGAAAGCTGGGGGAAAAAAGCAATTTCTTATAGCTCTGCATCTGACTGATGGATGCTGGAACTAATGGACACAATGTTTATGGGTAGAACATGAGCAGTGCTTTTCCTGTGAGAGGAAGCCCTGAAATGTAGAAGGTAAGTCAGTATCTAAAGCCTTACCTTCTGATCAAATACTAAAGTCATTTTCATGTAGTGACATGGCTAGAGCACTCAAGCTGAGCACATTTAATGTTGATGGTCATATTTACCAAACAGTTGTCAGCAAGAGTGTATTTTTACTTCACGTAAAAAAAAAAAAAAAGAACAGAATTTTACATTAAAGGCATTTCTGGAATAATAGGATCACAAAATGCAAGATGCAAGATACTGTTAGGGCCAACATGGCCGCTCCATCATGCAATTTAGCAATTTAAAATAGTTCAATTGCTCAGGTAAGAGAAAATGAAGAAATCAATAAAAAATATACCTGCAAATACTGCATTTTATCTTCCTGTAGTTCCCTCACTGGATACCCTTGCAGAACCCCCCTTTCTAAGGTTGAGAACTCATACTTGGCATTACGGTCTAGCGTCACGATTTCAGGCGGTGAGCTATAGTCATATGGTCTGTCATATATTAAGTCGGCATGAATTCCTCCATCTTGGCTGTTTTCTGCAAAGTGCAGAAAAGCACGAGCGTCAGGATTAGAGAGCAACGGACTCAATACACAAGACAGACAGACAGACAGACGAGTAGATAAGAGAGACAGGTTCAGTCGTTCTCTGATTTCTTCTCTGAGTTTTCGCACGACCCTCCTCCGAAACTTGGTTTGTTAAAATTATCCCCAAATTGGGAAAAGTTGCCAAATACAAGAGAAACGAGTTAACAGAGTTAGTCAGTCATTACAGTTGGAAACAACCAAGTCACACAGTTTTCATCTTGACCGTTGAATCGTTATGATACCCATCAGTTATAGTCCCCACTGACTGCATTCATGTTCATTAAAGATCATTTACAAAACCCATTTTTAGAAAGGTTGGTACATCTGAGACATTAATCTCTGTAATAGGAAAAGAAATAAAGGGGTTATAAGGGGTTATTCAAAAGTTAGGAAGTTCAAGGTTTGAGTTTTCAGATAATTGAAAGGAGCATTCAATAAAGGACAATGTCCCATATCTACACTCAAAATTCTCAAAAAACAAAACTTAGAAGTGGCAGAAGTGACTGCTCAATGTGCATGGACATAAAGACAACCACATAGTGACATTACTTTAAAGGACTGTTATTGCTAAAGTCCTAGAGTTCCTGTGTGCAGGAACATCAATGACTTCTTAACAATTAATCAAGCTGGATCTAAACATAATGAAAACATGTTCTATTGTCTAATCTTGTTTCCACGCCTGTAACAGCTCATCCTGGCTGTAACAGTCGACTCCATTCATACTATGATATTACTATCATGCAGGGGATTATGTTTTAAATTCAAAGAAAACATTTACTTCTTTCCAGATGTACAGCATCACGTCTTATTACGTACAAATTACAAAAACACGGCGTGAAGCAAGACCTTCACCGTCCTGCCTGCAGTCCAGATCAACAGTTACCATGAGCCAAAAGGAAGTGGTGTCTTCAGTACAGCATAATGGTTTTGATTTATTTCTTTGTCCTTTATCTGGACAAACAAAAGGTGCAGGAACGTTACAAAACCACCTGTTTAAGATCACTGGGTAATTTTTCGAGAACGTACCAACTCTTCTGGAAACGGACTTTGTAAAATAAAATGGTGCATAATGCTGATCTTCAGGAAAATGTTGGTCAAAAGATGGAAGATGAAAGTGGCCATTTGCACAAGGACAAGGGCATGCAAAAGTCTCTAGTTTCAGAAAAGACAGGAAACAGTCCTTATACATACAACTGTGATGAGTTATACATGGTAAGCCCTCTGGAAAAGAAGCAGAGAACTGGCAGTGTTAAATATCACACAGGACATGGACTGCTCTGTGCACTCTACTGGCTCCTGCTGGACAGCAAGCAGTTACTGGGGGAGGGGAGTCACATGGGGAGAGGATCAGAAGGTTTGGGAGGAGAAACAGGAGAATAGAAGTTCAGACCAGGCTGAGTGTAAACAGCGGCGACAGTAAGACAGGCAGATGTGACGATCTTAACGAACGAGAAGAAGAATTTTAGAAGAATTATCATTCGTTTGTGTTTGTGATTAGGATTTCTTGTTAAAAACTGGATTTTTGTCTTGAATTTGATGACTTTTACTTCTGAACAACAGAAATCTGTATTTTTCTGCCACTTTTATATTATCAAGCCAAAGGACATAGAAAAACCATTTGGTGCGTTCACTGACCAACCTAATTGGGTTAAACAGGAGACTCGACCAGAGTGGTCTTCTGAAGAGAATTTTATGTTAGTTTAAAACAATGTTGCTCAGCATAACATTGGTGGAAACTGCTGCTGAATGCGCATGACCATTGTGCAAAAATGCACAGAAATTCTACTTAATATAATGTAATAGTAATTTTTCATAGTTATTAAATCAGTTCATAGTAATCAAGACAGAGTTGGTCGTTTAAAACACTAAAGTCATTTTCTTATGATGTTTTGCTTGATAAACAGAGGCTTACGTGTGTGGTTTTTTTCAAGTGTCTCAACTTTTCTGAAAATTCAGTGTTTAGTCCATTAATAATGCATTCATATTCACTTTAGCTGTTTCTCTGGATCCATTTGTGACCTGAGGGAAATATGACCATCATAATGACACGAAAATGCTTTTCAGCTTTAGTGCATTTGTCACATTTTCTCGGAGGTTATTTCATCCTAAATGGATGAATATTTTATCTCAGCATCCTCTCATGTCATGGTGTGAATGTGTCCAGCGTAAATGCTTCACAAATAAAAAACAAAACAACAGAAACGCAACATAAAACAGTATAATGAAGTAAAGCATTTGGTGCACTACACAGCAAGTACAAAAACACATTAAATAGATATTATCAGTACTATCACACAGATATTTGGTATCTGTACAGGTCACAGGATAACATTTGACCCTTTGAATCTTTTCACCTTGAGAAAAAAATTAAACAAAATATAATTAAGTATTTTGATATCAAAGAGGTTTGAGGTTTATTGCAATCAGTCTAGAAAATAGATCATATTTAGAAAATTAAACAATCCTTAAGGTGGACAGATAGAGAGCCTATCTGTCAGTTGAACACTCCTGTGAACTTCCTGACCCTCGCTCTGTCTACTTTCCTCTAAACAGGATCACATGATGCAAAATTTAGGATTAAATTTACTTTGAAGAAGTCTAGATTTTATCAGATCACAAAACCATATCTGCAGCTTAGGCTTGCAACAGGACTGCTCGGTCCTTTTTCTTATTTACTGTTCATGTGTGTGACTACATTAGGTAATCAGTTTATTTTACAATACACAGGGGGAGGCGGTTGGCAGAGGCGGTTTGTTTTTTATACATGGAGGTCATTTTAATGTACTGTGAAAAGTGTAACAAAAACAATATCATGAGTGAAGTTGTACTTCACCTAAACACAGAAGACTTAACGGTCAATAACACAGAGTGTCCATGTTCAACAGGGTCATTAGTCTCTAAGTTACATCCTGTTTTTCTTTGCAGCTCTCTGAACTGTTTACTGTTAACAGAGCCAGGACTTGATTTAGTTTGATACAAACTGCTCACTGCCACCCTCAGTTTTAGTACAAGCACTCCCCAGGCTAGCAGGGGAAACTATGAAAGTTATTAGATCACATCTGTCACTGTAATATCTCTGAGCCAGAACACTTCTGAAGACTTCTCCCCACACTCTGTTTGAAGAGTCACGGATTTATATGACGTAAATGGTTTCATAAAAATAATCAAAATGTATGAGGTTTAATAAAGTGCCCATAATCATATTTAAACAGTCTGAGATCAACAGTTACACATTAAAGAATGAATCATTCAAATCATCAGGGGCAGAGGATTAGGGTAAAAGGGTCAAGGCAGGGAGGAGGGACACCAGGCTCAGTCTTACCCTCATCCACCTCGTCGTTGGACATGATGGCGACGCACTTCTCCCACACCATGCGGATGTCGGCCCTGTATCGATCACATGCCCAGAGGAACATGGGCAGCAGGATGGACTGAGCGATGGAGCACCAGAGCACACACAGCACCATCCAGTTGTAGGAGCGGTCAAACTTCAGGCTGGCAAAGCTCACCACCTTCACAGAGTCAGGGAGAAAATAATCAGATCTGTGGAGACGTTTGGTGACGAAGACAAAGTCTGATCAAGACAAACGTTGGCAGAGGTTTAACGACAGGCCTGGGAAATCTCTTCTGCTGCTATTATTTATTTGGCGTGGAAAACTTCCACCACTGAATACATTTGTGTGTAAAAAAACAGCAGAATGTCAGTGACGAAGACAGGGAACACCTGAAGCTGTTGTTGTTTGTTGCTGTTTTTAAATCTCCTCAAAAGCACAGTTTGTTTCTTTGGCTTGTGACACCGTGTGAGTGGATGCATTTGAGAAGTTTTTAAAAGATTATGATTGACATATTTAATGTCAGTTTTCACCTTTACTATTTTATTATAATTTTTCCACAATAGATTTGAAGAGCGCTGTTTGGAAAATAATGGGATGTGAAGTTAGTTTCACTATTCTTGGCTGAATCTAATTTGTTCAGTGAGCTTCAGACCTCAACAAACTTTCCTAAGTCATTTGGTTTGGTATCTCTTTTCTGTCAGCATTAATCTAAAACAAAAACAACAGGACAGAACAGCCACGATTTATATTCCATTACAGGAAAATAGTATAAATAAACAAAACCTTTTTGCCCCTGATAAATAATTTTCAGCATTTTGTATGTTTTATAACCACTGTAATGGAACATTTTCAAAGTTTTTATCTATTTTCTTTTTTATTAAACATTCTAGAAAGTTATTCAATTAGTATGGTGAACAGATAATAGGTTTAAGTACCAGGATGAAGTAAAGGTTAGATTTAAAATCAAATAAATATGATGTGATATGATGTAAATATGAGTCTTTTCACGTTTGATGTCAAATGACATGCTGTTTGCTGATATTATCAAAATTCTATGACTTTTTTTCCCCACCATTCAATATTCTTGTTTTGGTTACATATGTATGCTTCTTCTGTTTTTCTTTCATCTGTCCCCTCAGTTGTGTGTTACAGAGTTTCATGCATTTAAATAGCTCATTACATAAGGCCATAGAGATGGCTGGCGGAGGGGTCGTTGTTTCTGTCAGTACAGTGGAAATGTGATCAGGCTCCTGTACAACCCTGACTATTATACACACACACACACTTTATTATATGTGCAGAAACACTATAGGATGTTGTGTAAGAGTGATATACCCGTGTCTGTGTAAATAAACGTATAATCAAATTTACTTTTCTTTAGTCTATGGTACCTGTATTTTTTAAAATAAAATTAATCCACAAGAGTCAGTAAGTTTGCATCCAAACATTTATGAATCCTAAATGTTCTACCACCAGGCCAATGCTGAGTAATTTTACTCATCATGGCAGAATTATTAATGACGTTTATTTAAGCACTGAAACCCTATTTACTTTCTGTTTTTTTTTTTGTCTCGCTTGTGGGCTAATTCCACAGACTTAATATAAATTATGTATTTATATTAAAGTCTAAGCCACACTTCATCACTCTGAAATGCACTTTGACCGCAGTACCATAAATGACCTGAGTGGGCTTAAATCTTTATAGCCAAAGGCACTTGGTTTGTTTTTATGTTATTACCTGAAGTGTAATAACATATGACTTGTTGGACCAATAGAGACATTTAGAGACTATAGACTAGTAGAGAATATGAGGGATTTTTTCAAATATAGAATAATGATAATTTAGAGAATGTGGTTAGCAAGTACTGGGAGTTATTTTTCCATTAAATAAGACAATAATTTTCTTTGTGATGACTCACTTGCAAAGGTAGATTAGTGCATTAGTGTTCATTTGGTACATTATGGTGATGACAGTTACACTTTAAGTATGTAATTATCATTCAAAAACAATAATGTCCAAATATGACTCATTCTAAGTTAGCTTTCAGCAGACATCAGGGAAAACTGAATACAAATTTTGTTTTATAAAGAAAAAGATGTGTTCTTTTGTCCATTTAAACTAATTAAAAAGACACATTTAAATGAACAGCATGTACAAAAAAAAAAAAAACCCAGCATCATTGATGCCCTATGATTGACTGTGTTTGTCTACTTCTTAGTCAGTGTGACCACAAATTCATGTCAATCAAAAAGCTAATTTAAAAAGAAATCCTCAGGGTTCAGATATGAGACAAAGGAATGTGTGATGTGGGCTATAATAAAGTCACTCCAGCCGTTCTGAATGACAGGGTGGCTGACTTTGCTGCACCACAAACAATGAGCCCAAGGCTTACTTTTCAACTGTCAAGTTGACGATGAGAGAAAAAAAAAAAAAACAAACAATGACCTGAGTTGTTAAAAATGAATGAGATCCTGAGGGTAGAAACAGAAAGCAAGTGATGATTACTATCACCAGGCAGACGAGTCTGTGTTTGTAGAAAAACAACCAACGCAGGAAACAACACTGCATCAGTCATCTGGAACTGGGACGAACTAAAGTCACTTAATCGCACTGTCACAGATCTGGATGAATGAGGCACAGGTGGATTCATCTGTTTTGAATAAAAATAAAAAAAGGACATTTCATTCTTCTGTTTCTCTCAATGTTATTAGACACTAAATATTCAACTGAAAAATAGTGCCCTGAAAGATGAAAAAGTTAGCCAAAGTCAAAAAAATAATAATGCTTTTGGAAATATGAAACATCCAGAGTTTATTTCTGTCCTTTGTTTTATACTGATCCTAAACATCTCCACTCCATAAACTGTCCTACTTACAGAGCCACATGAACCACTTGACAGTTCATGTAAATAATGGAGCATAGAGTGTTCTGTGGTGGAGAGTCTCACCCACTATTTTACTCTTACTCTCTCTCTCTCTCTCTCACTCTGTACTGCTGACTCCATTCAGGGCTCTTGACCTAAATTAATGTGACAATGAGGTCACAGAAAACATCCATCACCTTGCCCTCACTCTACGTCTGTGTGTGGGTCTGTTTTCTTAGATAGGCTGTAATGTGTATAATATCCCTGTAAATAGGAACAATGACTGACGTTCATTAATACTAATTTATTACTACGGCACGATGAGCGTCAGCAACATACTGAAGATGGAGCGTCCTCTGAACACAAACAAAATAATTATTGGAGCGCTGCTGTTTTTGTGACATTAGCCAAGTGTAACGTCTGTTTGAGCTTTCATAGTTTTTGGACACAGACTTATCCAATGGAACTCGTCCTTTCCCTCCATATTGGTTGCCTTACTGTTCTTCTACTAAAGGTAACGTGTACATTTGACTTGCATTTGTAAGTAAGGAACTGGAAATTTAATAATAATCAGGTTAGTCCTTATTGGTCAGTTTGGATATATTAACCTATTTGATTTGGACCAATAGGGATGTATACGTGTATCTGTAACGTGATTGGACAGTGAGCTCACCAGTATGGGGAAGCCAGTCAGGAAGTCGTAGATGAAGACAATACCACTGATCAGGTATGTGATCTGCAGAGATGTCTTCAAAGGCTCTGAACCATCAATGGACGACCGGCGCTTCCCCTGGGCATCTTCCACCACTATGGTGGGGACGTTGAATTTGTTCTTGTCTGCATTGTGCCCTGCCTGAATGGAGAAGGTTTGGAAAAGAGCGATTCCGATGCAGATCACACCCATGGCCACACTGCCCCCTATCAGGAGCAAGAAGCAAACGCCAAAGCCCAGGCCGATCTCTGTGACAATAAATCTGCAGTCGGGCGTGTAGAAGCGGTCGATGGTGTCGTGCCAGCCCACTGCTGGGAGGGTGGACAGGATGAAGGAGACCATCCAGATGCCCATTACTGTGTGCACTGCCTGTTTCTTGGTGTTACTCAGCCTGAAGAAAAGAAGCAGCAGATAAAGCATGAAGTAAGATTTCTGTTCTGCACTTCTGTGGTTCACAACAGATGTTTATTGTTTGAGAAAATCCTTCTTTCTAACTGAATGAACAAAATCACAAAATAAGGTCAGGTGAATTAATGTACATGCCACAAAACAGATGTTCCCTGAAACAATATAAATAAAAGAGCAACTGAGTAGGTCGACATTCAGATAAAGTGATGACAAATGGACGTAAGCAAAATACTTTGCTGACGGAAAGGAATTGTTTTTGAAAATCTTCGGTCCATTTATCATCAAGGTCTATTTTAGTTGGTCTTTTTTGTCCCTTTACACCTCAGACCAATGGTGTAACCGTGTCGAATGTGTCTGACTCCAGACTCACACGTGAGATGCAGGAGAGTTTCTGGGACCAAAAAAAAAGTGGACCTAATGAAAAGCCTTGAAAATCCAACCCTTCCATTTACAGCACATATGTCTCAAGGCCCACCAGCTGAATCTGGCTCGCCAAATTACTTTATGTGGTCCACCAAAGCTAACTTGGTATGGTCGTCTATGGTACAGAGTCTAATGTTTATTGGATGAGTTAAATGTGTGTATATACCATTTCTATGGGGAGTTAGTCACAATTGTAATTTCTCACATTCCAATTCTAACCCAGCACACATTTATGTAGGTTACGCATAAAGTGCACCTACCATAATGTACATTGATTTTGTGACCTGCCTCCTTGCATTCTAAGAAATCACTACACTGTTTGACCCCTGTTTGTGGGAAATTTTGGCCCCTGGTGTGACTGAGTTCAACATCCCTGCTCTATATTGTACATATATTTGAGAGGGAAACAACTTCACTGTTAACTGTTAGCTGGTTAATGTTAGCAGAACTAAATACAAGGCCTGAAAAAAGTACCAATACCAGGACTTTCGAGAATTCTGCTCTGGAACATTGTAAATATTTCATGACTTGAAAAAGCTGTCAATTTTAAACATATTTCTAGTTTTAATTATAAATGCAGTCTGTTTTATCTGTTTCAAGCCTGCAGAAAGTGATTTTATAAACAGATCACAGACTTTGAGTGCTGTGCTTTTGCAATCAAAAGAATGTATATAATACTGTGTGTGTCAGCTTTTTGCCATATATATTCATTATTTAAGTGATACTTCAACAAGAAGTAGACTTAGTACAGTGGTAACAGTTATAAAGTCATAGGTTAATAATGAATACTTTCTTTGTTTCCAAAGAAAAACATTGTTTCTCTACCAAGAGCCACATTTCTGGAATAATTCTGCCGGAAAATCCAGTCTGTCCACCTTAATCACAACCACTTGGGTCTTTTCCTTAGTTCTTCTTATTAACACGCTTGAGGAGAACTGGCTGGGTGTCAAAAATAAAGTTAAAAATATACATATAAGTACATGCAGTGGATTTTAGTATACACTGACACAACAGGGCAGCAGGATCTCCTATCTTTGCACTCCTTAAATCTATTACCAGAAGGAGAAAAAAAAAGTGTTACATAGGAAATGCTCCTAAGAGATCGTGGGAGCAGAGGGTGATGGGAGCAGCTGCACAAGTACATGACAGGAATTCATAATTTAGTCTTTCACTGTGTGTTAATGTCAGAGACAAGGCAGCCATGTGTGGTGCAAATTAAATGAAAGATAAAGGGGAGACTACAAGGTGTAAGACCGGAGCTAACGTCTTTGACCTCTCGTTGCACAGAGGTGAAGTAGGCTGGTTGGAGTCAACAGATTTGACAACATAGAGTAGGTAGCTCTGGCCTCTTGTTGGCGCTAATAATGCATCTTAAAGCCCTCTTCAACTGTACAGTGGGTCCTCAGTTTACAGCGTCCTTGACATGCATCATTTCGTGGTTAAGTCATCATTTCTCGTAAATTTATTGAGAGTTTTGTTCCATCATTCTGATGTACAGCGCGAAAACACGGGAACTAGTTGGCAAGCGGAGCAGACAAACATGTCACGCAGCGCTATACACGGAAGACGGGCTTGTTAACATTCCTTGGTTGTACCCCTACATTCACGTTTCAGTTTGTTTTTTTGCCGTTCATTATGGCTCCAACCATAAGGCAGACTCTTCTGATGTTCTTATGTCCAAGATTATCATGTAACCATTTGTGTTAGTGTTAGTGACATACGTAGTTACTTATGTACAGTTCATGAGTTCTGACTTACGCCAAAAATCTATGTCACACAGTAAGAACGGAACTCAAACGTTAGTCGATGACCCCCTGTAGTTTTGTCTACACTTAGAAATCACAACAGAGAAGCCATACATGCTCTTGATGAAAGTGCACACCATTACTGAAACGTTCAGGGCTTTGCCTGGCTGCCCCAATGATTGTTTATAGAGTGGACACAGATTATAGCATTGCTGAGCTCCAGGTGCTGTGAAGTATCATTAAGTCTGGTTTATGCCTTTTGTCCATCCTGTTTGTTAAGTGTGTAATTTGGGTTTTCACGGAGCTTTCAGACAGGGGGCACAGTAAAACCCAAATGTGGGAAACAGAAATCAGGCTAAGAATTTTATTAACAATGTCCAAACTCTAAACTAGCAGGAAAACAAACAAAAACTGAACTGAGTAACTGACTACTGAGATCACAGGCCAGGCAGGAGCAGGAACAGAGAGAACACAAGAAAACACACAACAGAAACTGCATCAATGACCCAGCAAAACAGAGTGAGTGAGTGAGAGCTGAATATATACATGCAGGCCACCAGGTGAGACGAGTGAGAGTAATCAACAGTGAAGCACAGAACACAGGTGAGTGTGATGAAACTAATTAGAGACAGACAGAAGGGCAGAGACAGAAGCAGACAGACATGGCAGTCTACGCCCCTACACATGAGACAAACTGGAGCACTGGAAGCTGGGAGTGGGGGTGTGAGGGCAGTAAAGCTCATGAGAGCCTGTAAAAAAACAGCATGAAGAAGAAAACCTTCTCCACCGTCACTTGTTTGCCACTGTCTGAGAAACTGACGTCAGCTTGGTAATGAGCTCTGTTTTCTTTTTCACAGTGATTGAGGTCAATGCTGGACTACAAACTGTGACTATGTGGGGCAGTGATGATGAAAGGATGTTTCTTAGAGTTGAGGGCCACCTTGACCTTTGTGCCAGTGACCCCCCTGAACTAACACAGATAACAGTAACTAACTTCCATTAGAATTCTTACTGATGAACACATACCCATCTACTCTGCCCCGTGTGCTCACACTGAAAGAACTCAGGTCATTGATGAAGTGAATGCTGCAAACTAACCTTTAAGCTAGCTGTAAATCAACTAGAAGAGCCAATGAGAGGCCAGTCAGTGTTTCCAGGCAGGAGATAAGACAATTATGTTTGATGAGTGAGAAGAAGACGTTATATAAAGCCAGATATTTCTGTGAGAACATTTGCCAATAATGGCAGCTGCGCAACCAATATAGCTGGAGAACAGATTAGAAAGTGTTGGTTCAACTTGTTCAAATGTGTGCTTTACTGCATGGAGCTGGGAATTTGGCTGAACTGATTCCAGACTGAGCATCTGCAGGACTGATGCTATAGGAAGAACAATCACGCTTTGTTTACTGACAAAAGACAGAGGGAAGAGAGGGAATAGAAAAAAGATTTGATCAGAATGGATTATAGTCTTAGTTTCTGTCTCTCTGTGTCATTGTAGCATATGTTTATCACATATAAATATGATATACATTTGAACATATAAAATACACAAGTTACATCGTGTGTCTAAAAAAATGAACAAAAAAAATCCCTATCCTTTTTAAAAAAGCAAGAGTAGTTAAAGCAGTAGATTTTATTGGTTCGGAAATCAATAATAGCTGTTTAATAATCTTTGGAGCAGGTCATCGTGTCAAAGCATCTCTAGTCCATCCCAGCATACGGACAGACATAGAATTTAAACACTTTCTGTGAAGGAACTAGCAATGTTGCAATGTTGCTGGAGAACATCTGATTATGTGTGAATAGCAGATGTCTGGGGAGTCTAACAAGACCAAAATGGTGTTACTGCAGCAGTGTGCTGAATGTGAATGTGAGATATTCAGAGTTACTTTGTGATACCACTTGTTGCACAGGGCCAAACGAAGCAAGATGTTGGAGCTGGCAGATGCTCAGGGTTGGTTTAAAATGAGCAGGTGTTCCTAATAACCAGTATTTACTAGACCCAATAAATAAGGGTCAGAACAGTTCAGACTGTATTGCTTGTATTGTCTGTGGCAGTATAGACAAACACGCCATACTTTTCTTTAGTAGCTTTTGCTAATGAAGCACAGGAATTCTCTGCTCATGTGGCAGCTCAAGTTTTTCCTTCCAATTTGCTTTTGTCATTGGTTGGCGACTTGGTGTGTTCTTTTGGAAATGTTCAATCCACGTAGAGTAGTTAAGGCCTATTTTGTGACGTGATTATAACAGTTGAGGATAAAATAAAATATAGGTAAAAACAAAATTGGGGGACGTCAACTGCTGCCATTCACTCATACATATATATATGTGCAGTAATTCCTCTTCTATCGCGGTAGTTGTGTCCCAAGACCCATTGCGAAATGAGAAAAATCACTGTAAACATTCAAATGTTGTCACAGAATCCTTTAGGATTATGCCCGTTCTTATATCATAATAACAGCTTACGCAGAGATTAAGGGACTATCTCACCTGTAGTTGACAGGCCAGCGAACCATCCACATGCGGTGATAAGAGAGAGAGGTGACGGAGAAGCAGGTGACCAAGGTCAGAGTGTAGAACGTGGAGACAAACACCTTACACAGACCCTCGTTCCACTCGTAGTTGGAGTGATGGTGGCGCAGCGTTATGACACAGTACATAGTAATGGGGATGGCCATGTTGAGGATGTGCGTCCCTGCCAGTGTGCATATGAGAAATTCCAGCGGCTTCCACTTCTTCTGCTTGGCACTGACGCTGAGGATGCTCCAAGTGTTGGCCAGGATGGAGACCCCTGAGCAGACCAGCCAAGCCAGCGTGTTGGCGGTGATGACGTCATCCTTCATGATGGTTACCTCATCCACCATGTTGGAGAGGGGCAGTGTGGACCCTCAAATAACTGTTGACAAAAACAGGGGGTAAAAGTGGGGAAGAGGAGGAAAAGAAGGAGGTGGTGGTGGTGATGATGGGCAGGAGGGGATGCAGGGTGTTGGGCAAGGCAGGCATCCTATCTGGGAGGGCGTGCACTATCCATGGATCAGGCACAGTGCGGAGCAGATTGCGGCAGTGATGTGGATCAGTGGGATGTCAGACGGGGAAAGTGAAGCCAGTTCCTTGGTAAACCTGAGGAAGACAAAAAGGGATCACATGGTGAGCACACTGAAGCAGGGCCATAAAAACATACAGTATTATTTACTTACTTTTTACTTTTGAGATCTGGCTGACAAGGCTGCATAATGTTTTATCTCGTAGTAAAAACAGAAATGTTATTCAAAGAATTTTAAATAGTATAAACCCAGAGTTGAAACGGCTTATATGAATATTTTAATTAACATAATAAATAATTCAGACACATGAAAAGCTAGAAGTTGAAGTGTTTGTATATTTATTGGTCTTCATTTAGTGAAAGGAAAGACCTAAAAAAAGTGGTTTATCTTCAAATTCATAAACAAACAAGGCATTCAAGGCATTTACCCTTCAAAAATAAACAGAATTCAAGACGTGACACAAGCAGGCCGGAACACAAAGAGCAGAACATATGCAAAATGAGGCGAGGAGAACAAAACATCAAACAAATGACAGGAAAAAATACCATAAGGGAAACAGAACAGACAAGAAGAAAGCACAGAGTCTGAACCACTTGGGTTAAGTGGACACAGGTGGATCTGATGAGACACAGGTGAATCACATCAGGGTGGAGCAGGCAACACAGACACACGCGTGTGGATAAAAGAGGTAAAGAACACAGAAAACAAACACAAGGGGGCTGAAATCTAGAAAAGGCAAAAACCATAAAGAACTGAAAACAAAGAATATAATGGAAGCAGTTGTGAAAGAAATGCATATCAAAGGGGTAATGAAACATTTATAAAACAAAACAAATCAGCGGCTCTTTTCAACACCATATTTTAGCATACTGTATAAGGCAAAACAAGTCTTTATTGTTGGTGGCTTCCAAGCTACCCTTGCCCTTTGGACAATCATTTTTAACCCAACACAGAGACTGTGATTCCTCCAGGTTTCACTATTGTTGTTTAATAATCAAAGTTACAAACAACACACTCTGAATGTAACCAACCTTTCAGATGCAAATCTACTCTACTCTCCAAAGTGTTTCCCAGCATTTTTGAACCATATTTTACATTACAAAAAAAACCCACAGCACTCAAAATTTACCAAACAAAGAGTACCAAAAAGCTTATGTATCAAAATACAATGATCTTCTAGTTTCAATGTAATTGCAATTTAATTACTTATATAAGTATAAGTATAAGTAAACCTTGGACTCTTTTGTTGAACACAGCACTCGCAGGAATTAAAGAAAGACACAAAGAAGAGTATCTTTTTTTAGTTTTTAAAGCCATTTGCACCAGATAAAACCTAGTGTAAGATGATTCAATCTTTCTGTCTGTCACTGTCACAAATACAATTATTTGTAGTAAATAGATGTTGAATAATTCTTCCATCAAACCTGATTATCCCTCATGGCACATAGCTTCATAGCTTCCCCAATTAACTTGTAATTATAATTAACTACGCAGGCCATCATTATCTAATTAATTATTTTATTGCTTATTTACATTAAGGCTTGTCTGTGTAAGGGGATCTTGCTCTTTGCATAAGCAAATAAAAAAATGTGGAAATGTGTTTTGGGGACACAAAACTTGCGAGATAGCTAAATATTTCTGGCAAGTCAGAGCTTCAGTATAAATTTAATCTGCTTTTCTAAGCACAACACTCTTGAGAGGGGACAGTGGAAATGACAGAAGCAAAATAATCATCACCCTGCAGTCACCCCACCTCATTTATAAATGTCCTCTAAACATCTGTCAGCCAATCAGACTCAGTCCTGCTGAGAAAGCAGGTCACAAAGCTGAATTTGGGTTCCTCGTGGGACTTGTGGAACCAGTCAATCCACAGCCAAGGGACGCTAACACCAATTAGCCTCCGGGTAACACCTAAAATGGGAAGTCTCACTTCTGTTCCAATCAAAATGTGGCACAGTTTGTTAGGAATGAGATAATGATGAGATAATACGTCAACAAACCCTATAGTCTGTAATGATGCTAAAATTACACCCGAGAGCAAGGCAGCAGCATGTCACCAGGGACGACCTCAATCCTAACTGATTCTTCGAAAACTCAGATGTCGAAGGCATTAATTTGTAATGATACCCTTGCAGCTAAGGCAGGTCAGCACCTCAGGCTTGGTGTCAATATGGCCAAATGTTTGAACGTGAGCACAACAATAAAAACAGTAGTATATGAAAAACTCCTGTGCACATCATACTGTAGGTTCATTTTATATTAAAAGCATTACATTTCAGTACAACAACCTACAAAGCTGAGCAGAAGGGAATACGTATTTGTGTTTTTGGAATACCCTATATAACCGGGAATACTCTAGATGGAGCAGTTGGGATTGCCTGACTCCTTTCTCGCCATCTGACCAAATCATTTGTGACAGCATTCGTGGTAGTGGTAGTATTCGTAGTGGCGTTGAAGCAGTAGAACAAGTAGTTGCAGTAGCATTAGTCATAGCAGAAGCAGTTGTAGTGGTAGGAGCAGCAGTAGGAGTAGTAGTATTAGCAGTAGTTGTATTTAGTTGTAGCTGTTGTAGTAGTGATAGGAACCATACAAGCACCTATTAGATATATTTATCAGAGAAAATGTTTAAAGCTTACTCATGAAATGAAAAAAATCATTGTTTTTCATTATAATTGCAAGAAAAGTCAGCAGCACCAACATGTTTTGATTGTGTGTTTTTTTACTATCTATAAGTACATAAACCAGCAAATATGAGATGTGACAAAACAATGCCATACACTATCTGTGTACTAAATACAATGACAATACTACTGGGGTTCGGTATTAATACTGGTGTGGTCTAGTGTGCTTAGCACTAGTTGCCCGATGAGTGATGAGCCCCTTCACCTCAGTGGATTTAATGTCTTAATTACCCACAAGCCCCTGGGCCTTAGAGCCAAATTGGTCTGGTACATGCAGAGAATCAGCACCACCCGTTACACCCACATTACAATAATTATTGTTACCAGTGTCGCACAGATTCACTGATATGTGGATACAAGGAAGATCAAAAAGCTGAACCAACTTACCAATTCATAATTACAGGTTTGACAATTCAGCTCTGTGTACATTATAATCTGGAGAAGCTGAGGAACAAGGGGCTGTTAATAATTCATTAACTAGCGTGATGGATGTCAGTGCAGACATCAGCCTTCGCTAGAGCAACTTTTCTGACAATTCTGTCAAGTACAATGATCAAAGCACATACTTATGCAGAAAGTAATTTTACTACCGTGGATCATATAAATATCTGCAATGCATAGATTTAGTTGTATGCCGTAATGTTATTGTTTAAAATACCAATTTTGTCCTGAACAAATCCCTACTTTATATTGAAAAAAAAACAAAAGCATTTTGACACACACAACTTGGCTAACAGTCAATTACTACTTTTTTAGGTTATGGCCAGTGATTCCCATCCACTGTCCTGTGGGTAGTACATTTACTCTGTTACATTTACTTGAGTAAGTTTTTCAAAATGAAGTACTTCTAGGAGTAGTTTTAAATCACTATACTTACTTACTTACTTTTACTAGAGTAGATTTATGAAGAAGAAACAGAACTGTTACTTGGCTAGTTTTGGCTATACTGAGCTTGTTACTTTTATCAGGGATACTGGATAACTTTTATTGAAGCACTGGAATTTACCTAAAGATTATTTTATTTCATCTGATAGAATGCTCATTAAGAAATAAATCAGATGTTACTCAACAGTTACTCAGTACTTCACCAAGTGCTTTTTTTACTCTTACTCAAGTAATTATTTGGCTGACTACGTTTTACTTCTACTTGAGTAATATTATTCTGAAGTAACAGTACTTTTACTTGAGTACCATTTTTGGCTACTCTATCCACCTCTGCCTTGGTGGTGAGCCGCAGGACTTTTCTAAGGTTGTGTATGTGGCTGGCTCAAAAATGTTGTCAAAAACACTGGGCTAGGTGTGCTTGGAGCAGAGGAGTCAGGACTTCAATTGAGCCCAGTTGTTAAATGGGAACAAATAACAGTTGAACACTTTGAATCAACATTCAATCTCCAAAAATATAAAATAGTTTTCTGGGGCAGACAGTGGCCTAGAAATAAAAGGATCGGTTTGCTATCAGGGGATCAAGATTGGAATCCTCCCTTAGCTGCATTAATTATTTGCTTCCCAGATGCTTTTAAAATCAACCATTGCTAGTAGTTTTTTCATGGGTTTAGAGATTAAAAGAAGAATTAAGCCTTTACTTCATTTCTCCTTTCTCCTTTACAGCTTGGCTGGAGACAAAAAATACTTTTTTACTCAAGGGTCATTTGTAGTACCACACTATGGGCATTAAAGCAAAATGGTTTACGAAAACGTGGCTGGGTTGAGAAAGAACACGTTGAAATTTCGATAACACATTTTTCCCTTTGGAGTGGGCTCCAGTATTATTGGAGCAAAATTTTTTTGTTATACTTCAAGCAGTGTCTGGATGTATTTTGGAAGGTGGGCACAAGTGATTCAAGGCCTAAATGAACGATGTATTAAACAGCTAATTACAGGTTTAGCAGCAGGTTAATTACACTGTTTTCACAGAACACAGTGTAACTACTGTTACTCAGATCAATGTCAGGTGCTGTGTGTTTCCAGGAATGCTGGTGTACATGTGTGGTGTCAGGATCTGGAGTAAAAAAGAGGGAGTGGACCTTCTTTCATATGCTCTTTGCTGACAAGTTTGATGCATGGAGTCTTTTTGCAGCCAATCAACCCTGGAGCTGTCACACAGGTAAATACTGGAGCCCAGGAGGTGGCACACATTTCCCAAGAGTGAGATTCTGGTCTTTAACATCATATCTCAAATGTCTACCACGGTTTCTGTTTTCCACTGAATCTCAGGTCAGCAGTAATGATGCCTGTTTCACTTTTACAGTTATGTACAATATTTTTAATTGAACCAGCAGCATCACTATTGTTGGATTTACTTTACTTTATATTATCACTATCAGTAGTAATAGTAATAATATAAAGTATAATAGTATAAGTGTAAGTATAAGTATAGGGAACTACAAAAAAAAAG